GAATTTGGAATTCATTAACATCAGGACAAATTGTCAATTCATTTGGTCAGGGAAAGTGCCGTTCATTTGACTGTCAGTCTGGGAATTTAAGAAACTATCGCATCCCTTCTTTTCCTTGTTCGTTCTTGTTACGAAGCGTGCTGCCCTGCGCTGGACCTGTTCGAGCCATGATGTGATATGCTCTATACGGATCCCATACAGTACAACCATATTCCAACGTTGTCCTCTGACAGAGAAACTCTGAGGTAAGGATAGTGGTCTACAGCCTGTAGGGTATGGCTAAGCATAGTGTACGGTTGTATAAAAGGATAATTGGTTCTGCAAACGCGTAGAACGTAACACTTCGATGAGTTGAAGGCCATTTGCCACAACTTTGCCCATTCAACTAATTTGTCCAGATCAGATTGCAGACTGATTGCATCGTCGGAATTGTGTACCAGACCATCAACAGGGTGTCGTCAGCAAATAACTTAATATTTGAGGTAATATCATTACCTATGTCACTAACGAATAACGAGAAGCACAAGGGACCCAACACTGTTCCTTGTGGGACTCCTGATCTCACGCAAGACTTCTCACTGCACACGCCTTCAAGGACCACCTGTTGAGTTCTTCCAATTAGCCATACCACTGCACACGCCTTCAAGGACCACCTGTTGAGTTCTTCCAATTAGCCATACCTTTATCCAGGGTGAGACTAAACCACGAATGTCATAGTACTCTAATTTAAGTAACAGACGTTTGTGTGCTACTTTATCGAAGGCTTTTGAAAAGTCTAAGATCAAAAGATCAGTCTGGTTCATATCATTTACTGACCGAGCCAGATGCTCTACGGCATTGATAAGATATAGGGATCGTAACGTCGACGGTGAATACACTCGATTTTGAGAATGTTTTCCTATTCTTGAATGAAGAACAGAACATATGAACTTAGCGCGAAACCATCCCTTGCGAATTCTCCCATTCAAATACTTTTGTGACCCTTATATTCTTAAGTGCAACGAGCGCACTTAATTTCGTTCGCCCCGTAAAGTGCTACCCTTCGCCTCGCCGATTCGCATAAATCCATCACTTTCTTTGTGAAAGGACCTCAGAAAAGTACAGGTAGTTATCATTCGTTCCAGTTGGAGTTAAATCTTCTTTTTAGTGGCGCTCAGGCACACAACAACTCGATGGAAACCGAGGGTCGAAACCGTATCGATCGACTCAATCGCTAAGACGTGGAGTCGCAACAAAATCCTTGAGGCCTGACTAGCCTCGCTTTCGCGTACGCAGACCCGGGCCGGCCGAGAGGTCCGCCATATTTGCATTGGGTGTATTTATAAAAATGTTTATAGTTATTTGTGTACATGCATGAGAAATAAATGCTCAATCAAGAGTGAATTTCTATGAAACGTTCAAATACAAGTCATGTTGAAGGTGATCAGTTTTTCAATTCTCAGCATGCATGAGCTTGTTGGTTGCCACATTGGTAATGCAATGCTGCAAAACCAGTCGAAGAGCGATATTTTTGGTTTTACCACCAATGAATGAAACCTGTCTTGCAACGATTCATTTTACTTTATTTCACTAGTTTCGCCTATTACATGATACAGAGAGAAAAAGAAAAAGGAAAAAGAGAAAAAAAAGAAAAGAAAACGACAATAAGTATATACTGAAACAAGGAATATACTTCACATCATTTCACTCCTCACGGGAGATATGAACTCAATAAATTGACCTCGCTCCCAATGTGTGGCTTCATAGCTCAGTTGGTAGAGCAACGCACCGGTAACGCGGAGGTCACGGGTTCGAATCCCGTTGAAGCCCTGATTTTTTTTTCAGGCTTCTTCTTTCCAATTGCTTAAATTGGAAAATTTACTGCGATGATCATTCTTCACTTTCATCTACAACCGCAGTTCAGAAATGAATTATTTCATATACTTCACATCAATAAATGCTTAGTTAGGCAGGGATGCCACAACAGCGGTAAGCCAATAACAGTGGTCCCAGGACTTAAAAAATATGTAAAAAATCGTAAAGCTAAACGTGACTATCGATTAAAAACAACAACGAAGACAGACAGACAAATTACGTGAAACGTTACATGACAGACAGATGGTTTTCTAGGATAGTGGGTCCTCTGGGTCGTAGTTATTTTCTAAGAAAAGGAGACATCTACATAGTACTTATACATGATGGATTTGAATTGAATGATCTGAAGGTTGCATGAAAGTTGAAGGTCACTTGCTAACGTGTTCCAGATTCTGGTGTTTCTATAAAGAATTAAGATCTCTGAAAAGTTAACATATTACATTTCCTTGAAATAAAGTGAGTAACATTCCGGTTGCTGTAAGATCTGGTAGTGCGAGTAACTAAGACTTGAGGGAACACAGAAGGACTAACTTTAACTGTACCATGCAGTTACAACTTTGAAAAAGAATCATGTCTAAAAACTCGTGCCAAGAGGAGATAGGTAACAAGTTAAGTTTCACTAGCCTGTGCCTGTATGTTTGGTCACAACTAAATGGAGGGTCCAGAATATACCTTGTAGCGCGCCTCTGGACACGCTCGAGCTTTCGAATCAGATCTTTGTTCAGGTTGTTGCAGGTTACGAATAGTTGTTGCAGAAAGTAGAGGGTATTCCTACTCTTTGCAACAAAATGTTGCCGGTTTAAAAGGCCGAAGGAAGACGTTTTTGTAGCGTGTCGTATGGTATATATCGTTACTCAAGCATATGGCGTAAGTGAGTCCGATCCCGCCTAATCTTATCCAATTAACAAATCGACAACAATTTTCCATGATTTGTAATCTTGTCGACCATGATAAAAATGACGTGAAAATGTTGAAAGTTCAAGTGAAGCCACGAGACGCAGTTGAAGTTTCTCAGAACAACGGGCACGCGAGAAAGAGAAAAACAAATTACACCACCATCACTTCGTTTCCATGGTCTGTTTAAGAAATAGATTCCTTGGTGCCGTGCGTCTGATCAGTAATAGATCACAGATGACGTCAAAATGTGGTAAAAACAAAGTGACACACTAAAACGTATTTACGAAAACTTATTTACTTATCCTCGACAGCTATGCAAAACCTTGACTTCGTTTCGGGTTTGCGCTAAGTGTCTCGAATTCTCCCAGCCCCTCTCGTTTTTATAACAGGCTATGCAAACACAGAAAACGTTTTCTATTGCTTATATCGAAAATAGCTGTCGACCAATTAGCGTGCGAGAAATCGCTCAGTTATGGTAAAATTAGACTTCGCTTTTCACTTAACCATGACGGACACTATGGTAGCTTCAGTCAAAGGTTTTGGCAACTCCTCATTCTGCAAGATCTTATTGCAAATACTTTTGAGACTCTCTGTACCAGTGAGTACCGGTTCAGCTGTTTTGTCTTCCCTTCCTTTTCGTAAAGTCTCTTCAGTTGCGAAAGGGCGGTCAAACACTGCTGGACCATTCAGTTCATCTTGTTCGAATACGTATCTCTTGATCTTCTAAGTGTCAAGAATATTCCTCTTAAGTGCTTTAACAAAGGAAGTCGTTCCCTGCTTGGTAGCTGTCGGATCCCTGTCCATTTGATAATATAAGCGTTCCTGCTTTATTAGTTTTCATGCCGTGTTTAGATTCCAGGATTTCCTGGCCAATTTAATGCCACGCTTTGTTATGTTGCGGTCAACATCTTAATATCACATTGCTTAATCACGACTATTCTTTCACTTTTTGAGTTTTCTGCTTATCGCTTTGGTTCAAGATTTCAGCTGTTAACCAGGGTTCTTTGTGTGACAAAGTTTACCAGAGACTTTGGCAGCTGTGTCAGACAGTACTATGTTGAAGGTTGTGGTCACTTTTTCCAGGTCAGTTGGCCGTGGTTCTCTAGGATCACCATTGGAACAAATGCTGTGGTGTGTCCAGGGGTACTTCAGTTTCTCTAGCTCGAACTTGACCATTGATTTTCTGATTTTTTCTTCATGAACACTTCCTACCTCAGCTAGGGAAACTCCTACCCCTCTTTGAAAACCTCTTTTTACCTAAACGTAGTATCTATGATTATGATATTTCCCACCAGGGCTGTTAGTTTTAAGACCATCTTCTTCTTCTTTTTTTTATGTGGACGGCAGGCATTCGCCAGCATGAGATTAACAGCGCAGCAAATGCTAGGAATCTCTGATAAGGTACTTCATTGCAGCGGGGCCAGCTAACGTCATGACAGTTTTCCATTGCTTCTTTTTCCAATTTTTGCATTTAAATGTCCTCGGATTGTTGAGTAGCTGTATCTATATCTGTATTCATAACGTCTTTTCCCCATAGTTTATGGCTGGTTCATACACTTGAATCACGGTAATGCTAAAGGGTATTGCCGTAAGACGATCCTGATTGAGTCTCCTGGAAAATACTTGACATTCCATAAAAGAGCCCACAATGTTTCTAAGGAAAAAAAAAGCCCACACTGTGTTCATGTTTGTCCTTCTTATCACCTCTTGTTTCCTGTATCAGTTGATCATTTCGCCAATCCTTTACAGCGTTTTCTAGCGCTGGCGTAACTTGAAAGCCCATTTATGCCTTGGGTATGGTTATATGGGAACATCATCACTCGTACTGATCTTAATCTTGCTGGTGTGTCAGTAGCACATCGGTCTATTCCTTTCTGCGAATGGAGCGGTCCTTATTAACACGGAAGACGACAGAATCAGGTTGACACTACACTGTCTTTGGTGCAGTTTATTTTGGCGGAACCATCCCTCTCCAGACCAGATTTACTTAGGGTTTCCTTAACTTTCTATTTCATAAAGTTCCCACAAGGCATCTGGATAAAAGGAGGAATTATCCAGTAATAATTCGTACAGGTAACAGATCTGTCCACTGCCTAGGGAGATACAGTCAGGCTATTAAAAGGATTTTTTCTTTCAGCTGCGCTTACAGAAAGTTTTTTTTTTTTTAAATTGCAGGTGACCATTTGTTGTTGATTTGCATCCAATGAAATGAACAGATACTGTGCAAGATAACAAATTTAGGGATAGCCATGGACTGTCCACCGATTGACCAGTTCCAACCAGACCTTTACGAGGCTATAAAGAATGGTAATTTAGAGAAAATCAAGAGCGTACTTAGTTCATCTCGAGCAAATAAAGACCTTGATCTTCTAGACAGCTCTGGTAAAACAATTATACAAGTAGCAGCTGATTTGAATGATGCGTCCGATCGAAACGATGTAATAACTTTACTATTGAGTTGCGGAGCTAGCCTACAGCTCGCTTTGCTTAATACTGTACATCAAGGTGACGTGCGGGTAGTAGAGATACTACTTCAGTTTTGTGATCAACAGCCTCAGACAACGTCACCTAAAATGCTCTCTGTCAGAGGTAATACTTCGTTTACAACACCACTCAGCCTGGCGGCCCGTTTGCAGAATTTTCAGATTGTCAAGCTTTTTCTTGAACACGGATTCACCATTGAGGATCCCAAAACTATGCGAATGTCGACAGAATTTACTGATGTCTCAAGCGAGAAGCTCCATAGTACAGTACACCGTTTGAATGAATACCGCGCACTGGCCAGCCCTGTTTTTATCGCGGCTTCTTTTCTACAAAACGTGCGGAGTGGTCCTGACCCAGTTCTTCGAGCTTGTGCCTTGAGCAAGGAATTCCGTGATATATCCGAGCAAGAATACGAATTTAGGGAGAAGTATCTTGGGCTTTGTAATGACTGTGAAGAGTTTACTGTGTCGCTCCTGAAGGAATGCTGCACACTGGAAGAGATCAGATGCGTTTTGGAAGCGAAGAGCGAAGGAAAAACGTTTTCTACGCTGGAGACAGATTCTCTCAACATTCTGGAGTTTGCTGCTCTTGCCAAAACGAAAAAGGTCTATTCATGATTATTTTTAATGATAAGGCCATCTTTAGGTTAAATCAAATAAGATTTGCGTTAACGGCTACGATCCGCTTAGAAGACATTTTGATGCAATTTCCTTAAGTTTGCTTTAAGAAGTTTAGTTTAGCATCTCTTGGTACTAACGGTTAATATTTCCTTTCAGTTTGTCGCCCACCCTTACAGTCTGCTGGTACTTAACTCGGAGGTTTATAAAAACGCCTCTTTCTTGGAGGTGAAAGGTGTTTGGAAAAAGTCACTGTTACTACTCGTGGCGTCCTTGCTGTGCCCATTGGCTTTAGTGGTTTGGTTTGTTTTTGAAGGCCTTTTCCCCAAACATAAAGTGACCAGCATGTTTCGCTCTCCTTTTGTGAGGTTTCTCATCTACGCCGGGTCCTATCAGACATTTCTATATCTGCTTGCAATCACATCAAGTACCAGTCATTTCCTGGGAGGCTTCTCGTTTAGTGGTAAGAGATATCGATGAAAAGAAATTTATCACTGTTAATACACTAAGTTAAGACTGCTTTATCGAGGGGCAAGCTAAATGATTCATCTTGTATTCCTCTCACAGATTTGTATGTCAGAATATTTGTCATTGGTCTACTGGTAGACCTCATAAAAGACGTGCTTCAGTATGGAAGATCCCGCTTTTTTTCATACCACTGGAACTATCTGGCTTCGACAACGGTGGTGTCTTTCGTCCTTGGCGACGTAATTTGGTTGATTGGAAGGGTAACTCTTCCAAGCGTATCCCAGTCTCTGACGCTAGAAGACCATGCTGTGTTGCGATCTTACAAGATCATGCTGTCTGCCGAAAGCTTTTTATCATTGGGAATTCTCCAGGCATTTGCCCTAAATTTGTCATTTTTGAGTCAGGAAAACGCCAGTATTGGTCCATTGCTAAATGCATTTATACAGATGCTTATCGATGCAGCAAAGTTCTTTTTGTATTTTGGTTTCGTTTTTCTGGCATTTGCTGTGAGTTTCACAAAGCTTTACTCGCAGTATAATGCGGCCAACGAGTACTACTCACCGGGGACGGAGGAGAAGATTTCGCTAGAGCTGGAAAGGTAAGTATAAAAGATTTACCTTAAGCAATTATAATCTAGAATACTTCATAGCAGCTGTGTACATGTACGTGCAGTTTTCAGGTACGAGTTGTTCAGAGGCGTATCACCGATCGACATTGTAGCGGAGCTCTCTCGCGAGCAAAGCGCGCAAAGGAGCACCATGGGTGAGAAAATTTGGTTATCTACCCATCCGAGAAATTTTGGTAATCACGTGACCGTACGCCCACCCGCCCGACCGTCCGTCCGCACCACAGGTATACGGATGTAAAATAAGTCAATCAACAGGTATGGCAACCCAAATGCAACTCGAGGTTATTTTGGCGGAAAATCGCATAGCCACCTGCGTCTTGTAAAGCAGAGACAACTAAAGAGTCAATAAAGATAAAAAAAGAAAGCGGAAATTGTTTCTGTATCCGTGTTGTCCAAAGTATTAAGCTTAGATTAATTGTCATGTCCACAAATTTTGAATATAGAGCAAAAGAAAGACAGAGAAAAAGAGAAAGTAGGCGAGAGGCCAGCGAAGCTCAACGAGAAAAAAAGCGACAGAGATCTAGAGCGGGAGATAAAACTAAAGGAGAAAATTTTTTTTCTTTGGGAGAACATGAAAATTTTCATTGTAGCGGCGGTGAGAAAATGAGAAATGCTAGCGGCCACCGATGCAAGGTGAAAATGAACGGCAGCGAAAAAAGTGAACGAGAACACGTACAACATTTCCTTCATAAAACGTGTAACTAGAAAGTTTCTGTAAGTTTCACGCTGTAGTCAGTGCAAAACAACGGCAAAGAAATGTACACAAAGAGTGTGCTGCACGTGAAAGTTGACTTATTGTTGTTTTATCACCGTTCTCCGGCGTTGCCTTCGCCGCTTAGCATTACACGATTTACTTTTTGTTTGTACAAACTCTAAATGTTATCGAGAGCTTCGCTTTTAGCCCTGGCTAAATCTACATATTAATATGAACAACGAATATGTAAATACGTACAAAGCATTTTCCATGTGCCTTTATCTTACTGGAATTTCCCGTTGCACATCATAAAATGTCATTGCCCAGTTTTATGTCAAATCTCTCTGAGTCAAAAATTATTCGCAAAAAATAGGTAACCGGAATTTTAATGAGTGAGTTTTTTTTCTTCATTTTCGGAAATAAATGCAAAATGAGTGACAATTTGTGAATGAGTAAATACGACAGGTTTAAATCAGAAGACAGGGAAATGGTCCTAAAGTATAATACTTACATCTCGCTATGGTTTTCCATTTGTAATGCTGTTTTGTAGGCTCTCTACAATCCCCTTCTGTGACAATGAGAGAGGAAAAGAGCTATATACCATTTTTTAGGACTATTGATCACTTTTTTATGAGCAAGACTTTCTTTCATTTTAATTTTCTCGTCGATTAAGTAAACTGCCCCATTTTTTCGCCAGGAAACAATTTTAAAGGCGCCCAATTTGTTTTGTAAACAATGCCGCATAATATGAAGCGTTTTATAGCTTTCTGATTAGCTGTGTAATTTATGGCATGGGAAAAGTTAATCATAATCGTTTGTTATTATTTCAGGTTAGACAGCAGTGCAAATGTGATCTTCTGGTCGCTTTTTGGTCAAGTTGAACGTGAAGGATTTTTGATTGCAGAGGCAAGTTACGAGACCATCTGGTGGACGGGCTTGACGCTGTTTGGGGTGTTCAATATTGTAGCCGTTCTTGTCGCTGTTAACATGCTGATTGCAATACTCAATGAATCCTATACGCGGATTTCGGTAAGCAAAAAGCCGTTCTCGCGTTCTTGCATAGCCTGCTAAACAGACGTTCTTTGGGTCATCACGCAATGCTCCTCGTTCTCAGCAGCCGTTTTTTCGAAAGGAGCGTTGCGTGACGACCCAAAGAACGGCAGTGAATGGGCTAGTTCTTGCACGAATGACAATAAGAAAACAATCCATTCTGTTTAGGACAGCTACTTCACGTGCAGTTGAACCTCGATATAATGAACCTCTGTATAACGAAGGATATTCGACGCCTTAGTAATAGTAAAGTATATGGAAAAGAACCTGCATACAACGAAACCTCGTTATATCAACATATTTTTCCAGTCCCTTGGCCATTCATTATACGGAGGTTGCACTGTATAGCCTGTGTACAATACCCCACTCCCTAAAAAAAAATAATTTTTGAGGGGAGGGGGGCCCATAACCACAGGTTACTTCATGTAGAGAGGTGAAATATATCTAAGCCTGCAAAAAGTCAATGTAAAGTTTCCATTATCGTCCTCAAATTTGAACCTCTGAAAATTTGATTCCTTGGGTTACTGTATGTTTAGTAACAACTGACTGTTTTTTTGCGATTTTAAGAAAGTACAATAGACTTTTCTTTACTTGCGCGTACGTTATTCACCACCTGATTCGCGCTAGTACCACAATGGTTAAAAATTGATGATGCAATCGAGTTAATACCTCTAACACACAAGATAAAACTTATAAGCCCGCCATCCAATAATACTGATCAGCGAATCACTTCAAAATGCGTGACCGCGATGGGTTGTTCAACTTATAATCCTCCTCCCTACGTGCAATACTTGACCTGGCTGCACTTGAGCAAAGATTACTCTGACTAAAGAATTTTTTTTTTTAATGATCGTCAGGAAAACTTGGACACTGAATGGAAGTTTACGAGGACAAAGATGTGGTTAAACTGGATTTACAAGGAAAGCGTTCTTCCGCCACCGTTTAGCATCTTGTATGTGCTGCTTCCAGTCGGCTGGATTATTGAACGTCTTTTTAAAGCCTTTTGCCCCGAACCCATCTTGGTTAGTTAAAAATATATTGGTATATTGGTAGTATTCATTCAAAATATTTCTTCTTTTCTGATTGCCTAAAATCCCACGTATAATTCATCATAACCAGCTATTGTAGACCAAAATTGGAAGAATTTTGCGATATATGAAAAATGACGTCAAGTGTGCAGCAAAGAACAGTTAGCCGAAAAGACCTGGGGACAAGGTTGAGATGTTTTGGTAGTGAATACAAAATGGCGGAACATTTCACTCGTTTCACGAGGAAGAAATAGATGAACTATTGGCTAAAAACATAGCAAGAACAGCAGTTACAGTTAAATGGGCTATGAGAGAAATGTTACTTGCTATTTTTTGTAGAGCTAAAACGTTTCTTTACTTGATAGGTGGGGTGACTATATGAGAGATTATAAATAAGGACAGGCGGGTTACCTCACCTATCTGGGGTCCCCCGGCTGCCTCCATGTAAACAGGCTCTAAGTTTCATTATCATTCATTTATCTACAAAACGTCATTGAAAGAGTTTCAAAGGTGTTACAGCAAAGAAGAACTCAATCCACATATTTCGCTGCAGCTTGGAATTACACCAATAAAAACTACCTACATGTAAAATGTTAACTTTACTTATTACAGTATCTCGTTTGTGAAACAATTTGATTTTCTCCGTGTTTAGGTTTCTGTTAAAAAGCTGATTAAGAGGAGGCCTAAAACTAGGACAATCTCGAGAGTTAAAAGAATTGGTGAACAGAAGGTAAACAGTCTTTTGTTTTTCTATTTAAACGAATAATCGAATAACATTATTAAACAGCGTCTCATTTCTGAACAGTTACGTTGATACTTGAGCTCGCAAATGACACTGTAATTTAATAGACAGTTAACTTTTCTAACAGTTTTACTCTCAATTACAAGTTTTAACGGTTGCCTTTTGTCAGTGCTACCACAACCATTTTGTTATTCCTCAGAGACGAAAGGTGCTTCGTCAACTTGTCTTGAGGTACCTGGCAAAGAGATCTTATTATCTAGATACTGAAATTGAGCCGACTGACTCAGAGGAGGAGAACAACAAAGAGGCAACAGCAGCTACTGCTGAACAAACCATGGAGACAAGCCAATCCAACCAAAAGTAACCATTGAAATACAGGAGTTGTAGCAATCATAACAACTCGAGAAATGTCTAGTTACTGGGTCCGCATAGCTTCAGTGATAAGTTAAGTCCGCGTTCAGTTTCAGATTGTTCAATTGACTACACATACTTTGCAAGTTGCAAGGAAACCTTTTGGGTTTACACAATAAGGCTTTCTTATTGCAGTTCATAGGTTAGGCTATGCCCACTGAAGTCCGTTTATGTTTGTAATGGCATACGACCCCATACCTTTACTACTCCGTCTCACAAGAGGGGTTTTTATCTGTTTTTCTACATGTTCCTCTCTGGAACCATTGACAATGGTCGTTTCCTCTTTTGAAGTAACCTCCTTGTTTCGTTCTGCATTATTTTTCATCGCTGAGTTTAGAGCACATCATTGTAAAAGCTCTTAGGAAGGGTTTGTTTTTTTTTTTACTTATTCTGATGGTCCGCAGCCACTAGAATTATGAGCTCACAAGAATCGGCCTCTTCTCTTCCTCAGCAAGACCAGAATTTGCGTCGTTTATTCTAAAAAGAAGTATGAGGCAGCACTATTAACATCTTGTATATTTCAAAGAGGCAAAGTCAAAGTGACCCTTAGGATAAATAGTACTGACTGTCATTCTAGTTTTGGCGGAAATGTCCATTTGTGGACGAATTTATGGCTTAATTAACAGATATACTGAGAAAACCCGATTTTTAAAATTTTTTAAACTTTTTAAAGATTCCTGTGTTGATGATTTAAGAGGCTGAACAAAGCTAAGGCTTGCTTATTACCTTCATGGTAGTTCTTTTATGTCCCGAAAATGAAGGAATAATTCCATATGGTCATCCAACATTTGCTGCGGAGAACAGCCAAGAAATGATGCCCTCATTCAACATTTTGGTGGCCTGTTAAGTTTTGATTCGCTGTCTCTGAGTGACAAATTTCGGGCCTTTTGTAAATCCGCGAACTAGTAAACTTAACTGTTAAGCTAGCCGCGCCCCCCCTCCCGTGTTGTAAAACGAGCTGGGTTTGCCACCACCTCAAAATTCATAACAAAGAGCCAAAAATGGAAGTGAAAATTTTCTTTTTGGTTCAAAATAGCCCCAACGTAAATCGACGAATTTAAACAAACGACAGGCGACCAAGGCGGTGTTCCCAGTTGCCGACGGTTCACGTGACCTACGTGGTGGCTAGAAAATATCACGACTGCATGTCTGCGAGTAGGCTTTTACCTTGGCCCACACTTCATTTGTACTAAATACTAACCTATGAGCCGGTTCAAACATCGTGAAGGCTGACAGAAGCAGCGCCTGGAAACAATTAAGAAGTAAATGTATTTTATGCCTAACAAATGTTTCAAAAAATTTTAATCATCAGATTTCGTAAAGACGCTTTTCGAAGCGTTTTGTCTCAAACCCAAACCACAAGGCCAGTTTCAATTGCCAACATGAACTTTTTGCGATCTTTCATCGTGTTGTAGAACTAGTCTTTGACCATTTCGACACATTCAATAAATGGCCTTTGCCGACGGTTTTCAAATATCTGAATTGGAATTGGCAACCTTTGGAGCTGATAAAATGAAAATTAATACAAGAAATCTCGTCGAGAACTCAGATCGTTTTCTTTTCATCTTTCTCACTTCAAAACCAAACTTAAAATTCTGCCATCAAACTAAGTTTATCATCACCCCTTTTCAACAATGCTGCTTCTAGCCTGAATATGATTTCAACTGGAAAATACGTTTTTTTTTTTAATTCTGCGGCTGTTTTGTATCTCTCTGGATAGGCATCCGCCATAAGTTTCGGATCTCACGGGTTCGACTTTTTCTTTTGGCGACGTGACATGCTGCGGAATATTAATTCTCTTTTAGGAAAGCAAGGCCTTGTTTATATGGAGAAAAGCTGTCCTTAGTGGAAGGGCCACCCTACCAACCGAGCCAACTTAAGTGAGAGTTTATATGCGAAGAAAGATGACCCTTTTAACCCGCCCCATCAGCGTAGCGCATGCTCTGATTGTCTAAAAGAGCGCTCGCGCATGTTCTAATTGTCAAGTCTTGACCGGGTTGAAACGGCTGGCTGAGTCAAAGTGTTTGTATGATAAAAATTGGCCCGGATAAGGAGTGACCCTTCCATGTAAACGATTAGCCACTTTTTGTAAGGAAATGTATGAAAAGGTGGCCTTCCCCCCAGGGTAGCCTGGGTAGGCGGGTGAGTCTTCTAGCTGGAGCAACTTCTCCCCATATAAACGGGGCCTAAGGGTGGATCATTTGGAGCATACACGTCCAGCCGTCGCATTTGCTCGCTGAAATTTTTTGTTTTTAAGCTAAAATACGGTGATAAAAAATTGCAACGGGCAATACGACGGAATTACGCTTATGTTGCAAGTGAATCCATCCTAGGTGTAACGTATTCTTAATTTAAGTAATCATTTCATGCAACCACTGATTTCAAGCCTTCTTATTTGTAAATAAACAGATGTAGGTGCAGTTTAGATATACTTGAACTTAGCTTTAGAGTAAATAGTGATCAACTTCACATTCAGAAGATGTAAATTTATGCAGAAAGAACATGGCGAGGTGCAATAACATAGTTTACTTACTTGACCAAAACAGATGAAACCTGCGATCTACAAACGAAAAAATAAAATAAATAAATGAATAAAAATAAGAAAAACAATGAAGGTAAGAAAGTTATATTTGTTAATGCTGTCCTGAGCAGTGTCATGTGTTTCTTCCTTCCAAAGCCCGGTAAGAGAGCGCGACCGCCATTGGATTGTCTTGAGGTCAAACCGATCGGGAACTCAGCGGGATTCGGATTAACGACCAATAACGGGGGAGTGCTGTAGCATTTTGGTGGCTGAGCCGCAACCAAAATAGATATTCATTCATCGGTCAGTTTACATTTATATTCACCGCTTAACGTGTTTCGCACCGGTAGTTCCCCGATAAGTGAGCAGCATATTGCATCTACTAGGTTTAGTGGAAAGACGAGCTAGCAGATAATATCTTAACAAAAAACTTACACTTGTGGCCCACTGAAAACCAAAGTTTTCACTAAAAATCCCAGCTATACTTGGTCCAATTGTTGCCCTGTAAATAAAAAAAAGATAACTCCTGGAAAACTTGGCTAAGCTTAAAGAAGAAACATGTTGGCACAAAACTGAAAACACTTAAAAAAGGAGAGTTCGAACGCCAAGGTCTTAATACTCGTTTAAAAACTAACTAGCTAGCTAACTAACTAACTAACTAACTAACTAAGTAACTAAGTAACTAACTAACTAATTAACTAACTAACTAACTAACTAACTAACTAACTAACTAACTAACTAACTAACTAACTAACTAACTAACTAACTAACTAACTAATTAACTAACTAACTAACTAACTAATTAACTAATTAACTAACTAACTAACTAACTAATTAACTAACTAACTAACTAACAAACAAACAAACAAACTAACTAACTAACTAACTAACTAACTAACTAACTAACTAACTAACTACAGTACAGCGCATGTGCAACAACAGAGGAAACTTTTTTTTTGCCGCAACAAAAAATTCTATTAACGCAACGACATTAGAGCTGGAATAAAATTAACAAAACAATTCCAAAAAATGACCAAAACATGACCAACTACAATTTACCGTGATAAACTTACCCTAGATAAAACATGCAGCCAAAAATGCTCGAGAGAACGGCATATGTGGATGAATTGTCAGGCATCCCGTTCGCTCTACATAATAAACAACATGAATGAACACTTTTTACAGGCCAAGATATTTCACTTAATTGTCAGTCAGACAATGCAGGGTAAGATATTGATTTTTAATTAAATCCTACTACATTCGTACCATAAATTTACAATTAAAAAGTTGAAGTATTACCGACAGCCATATAATAGCGGAGCTCTGGCACGCGAAGCGCGCCTGCGGAGCACCATGGGTAAGTAAATCTACCCATCCCAGAAAATTTGGTAATCACGTGACCGTACACCGCCCGCCCGCCCGTCCGTCCGCACCACAGGAAAACCAGTGTTTAATCCTCACACTTTCTAGCCAGTTTGCGAGCACAGGAAGACCGATATTGCACATATATATTCCACATCAATGTTGTGATCAATTGACAGCTGTCAAAATAGGGTATCCGCTGACCAGTATCACCTGACCGTATCGCGGGCTCAGGTGTCGACCCATCGAGGTCAAATATCTTTTTGAAGTTATCCGTTGACAAGTTACTAGTTTTTAAATGATCGCAGGCTCAAGTTTTTTTTTAATTCATATAAAAAAGTTGTCGTGTTTCGTATGTGCCGCAAAATTAAAATGTTGATTTCAAACTGACCTCGGAAGCTAAAATTCAGCCAGTTTTTACAGCCAGGGAAGACATGCCAGTTGCTTTTGACTTTTCTCACCAAGGTCACGCGTTAGTCACGCTCTACGTCCAATTTTTATGCTCTGATTGGTCAAAATTTGACGGGTGAGTTCGTGCGGAAAATTTATGCATCTTGAAACTTGTTTACTTTGCTGAAGCTGACAGAGTTTTGTGTCAACTTGTGATGTTTATAACTGTCGTTTTCCACTGAATGTACAAAATGAAATTCAGCTGAGTCTTCTTTTATTCATGGCTAGTTTGTTTATTGGATTTTTGGTTGAGAAATACGTCGCTTGTCAAAGTCGGAAATCCGATTTCGGATGGCATCGTTTTCGTTTTTCACCGTGCTTGATGCGTAAGAGGGTTGAAAAGTCTGAAGCAATTCTGGCCTTACTTGATAGTTTTCAGTGCATCTCGAATGGTAAGCCTGAGTAATTATTGTATTTGACGTTTGTTTTTTATTTCTAATTTAATGAAGTCGAGCGTAGTTTATGCGGCTATTTAGTTTATGCACGTTTTTAATTGTAAGATATGAGACAATGATCTGACCGAGCATCAGGTTTGATTATAAGTTTATAGAACTTTAAAAAGCCTTTAGACATTTTCTCACCGCAAATAGAAAGAAAAGGTTCCAAAGAATATTTAGTTATAATTCTGGCTGTAAAAGAAAGCTTTGAGCGATTTTCTTGCCTCGAGTTCATCTTTGAAAAAGCAAACACCGGGAAGCCGGCTTACAAAATGAAAAACATAAACAAGGATTTTCAGGGACACTTTAATACTTGTCTTCATGAATGAAAATTGTTGTCTCTGTATATGTTTCACCGAATTATTTTCCTTTTATTGATTGTGAGTAGTCTCTTTTGCAATTTTTATCGCTGTGCCGTTTGTTTTCAGTCGCTCATGAACATCGTTTGCATGCAGGAGTAGTCAAAATGCCGCGCGTATCAAACGCTTTTGACGATTACACATCGTTATAAAACCATTAAATAAAATATAAACATAATAAATTTTCTATTATGTTGAAGTGTATAACTCTATTAATCATAATTTAAACAGTCGACTTTGGCGCTTGTCAAAAGTGAGAACCGGCTAGCCGTATAGGTGATTTTGGAAATTTTTTCAACGGTTTCGCTAAAAGCCCATACGTGCTTCGATCGTCCTGAATATTGAGTGAGTGCAATTTGTATCGCAAAATTGTGAAATACTGCATTCTGTCCGAGGTCTGTATGATAAAAACAGCGCCTCATGGTACTGTTTCACATCAGATGTGATGTATAAAAAGTATAAAAGGTTGGGTTACACGTCCCCAGACTTGTTGGCAAGATTTTGTAAAGTAAACTTGTTGAACGCAAAAAATTCGGCCTGATTTGTTTTCCAAGAATTTGTTTTTCAGGCCTAATCTACTGTGATCAAGAGCCAGCGCTCTTAAATGTGATCGAAGATGATTGCTATTTTTTGGGTGTACATATAACGCTATCAACTCCATGTAAGATTAAGTTCACTCTTAGCTTGGACTGTTTGCAAATTTCTTTTCTCTAAAATCACTTAACCTTTCCCCTCAAAAGTCGCATGAATGTGCTCTAAAGTTAACTGAATTGTGGAAAACAAGTTTATTGTTTGATTTAAAATATAAATTCGAGTTAATATACAAGAGCTTCGCTTTTAGCCCTGGCTAAATCTATATATTACGGTCAAGGGAATTAACCAAACAACTGTAAGACAAGGCTTAGAAATTGAAGTTTTAAGTCAAGTGATGTGGTTGTTCAATGTTTCTTCTACGTTCAGGGGCACCCAAAGTCAATTTTAGGAAAATATCTGTTCGGAAGACGATTTGAGATCTAGAATTTTCGGAACATTTGTTGTAAAATTTCTTGCTTGCCTGCCTCTCCTAGGATTTTCGAACATATGAAAAATGATAATTGCCCATTTTTAACGGATTTTTACCCTAAAAAGATCACCTAGAATTTTCGGGAGCCTTTTTTCAGGCTGAAATTCTCGAAAAGGTAAGTTTTGATCCCTATAATTTTCGGACCACTAGACTTTCAGCTAGGAAATCCGAACAGATGAAAAATTTTTAGGAGATAAAAATAAGCCTATATCTACCGTTTAAATATGAAAATACGTTCATCAACGCTATATTTAAGTGGTTTTGAGCGATATTCTCGTTGGGTGCGCCTGTACGTTGTAAGCACATTAAAGCAACAGCCCACTCTAAAGCTCTCTGCTACTTTGGCTGCTACACGTACACGGATCCGAGTGAACATTTGTTTAATGCTGAACGTTATAAGCTTTACCTTGAGGCATTATTTTTAATTATTGCTCCATGTCTTTCATTGTAATATTAATAACAGTGTGATTAACGTAAAGAAAGGTTATAAAAAGTCCTAGAAACCTCTCTTTGGAGAATCTAAGGGCTGCCGTGAAGTAAAAATTAAGTGAATCAAAGTTTTCTAAGATAAACAGAGGATTCCCGGTGAAAGTTATCCTGGCCCGGATTGTTCAAACGTTAGATAGCGCTATCCCTTGGAATAAATCTCTATCCAACAGATAAGTATTAGGAAAACCAATTGCGCTATCCATTTGATAGAGATATCGATTTATTCACTGGATAGCATTTCATCCCAGACACAGGTGCTTAAGGTCCCTATTGTTTCTCAAATGTGTCTTTTTTCTTATTTATACAATTGTTCGTAAGTTTCACTGAGTCAGTAGTTGGGTCCTTTACAAGATGATAATAATATCTTTGTAAGTGTTATCAGCCTCGGTCTTCGGCTCGGCTTATAACACTTTCCTCGACCTTGCTTGCTTTTTTTTCAGCTTCCCTGTAAGAAAGTAATAAAAAACACTCACCTGGCACTTCTAACTAAATCTGGCATTATTGGCACAAAAGAAAATCCTCCCCCAAGACCACAAATAGGAAGGCTAATACAAACAAACCACACCTTTCTGAAAAATGTAAGAAAAGAGCAAAATTTTAAAAATGTTCACAGAAACAAAAATGTTTTTTCATACATTATCAGGGCAAACAGATTCAAGTGCCAGCCATGCACGCCATAATCACTGAGGTCGACTCGGAGGCTTCTTATACTACGGTCGAAACTCCAGCCACTAACGACCACCTCTCTCAGTACAGCGGCCACTTTTTTCATTGTTGAATAGTCCATAGTACATTGACTCTTGTTTAAACCTTTCTACGGCGGCCACCCAAGGCGGCCGTGATGGAGAGGTTCAACTGTACAATTTATTTAATATTTCATCTAATGCACGTAACACGTACAATTTTTCTTTATTGCAGAGAAACCTATTCTCTGCTTTGGTGCTGGACACTTTATTTTTCCCAGGTTAAATTAGCTTATTTCTATCAAGCAGCCACTTTTTTTGTTGAGGGCTATCACATCAACACTCTTATCCTCTTCACCATCTGTGTTCCTTGGCTTACATTGAGGCTGCAGTCTTGGACAAAATGGACGGAAAATTACCCCCCCCCCCCCCCCCATTCAAGGATGCGGATGCGGGAAAATGACTCGGGGGTGGGGGGTAGGGGTTTGCTGTTCCATTTTAACTGTCCAAGATTGTAGTCTATTTGTACTAAACGGTCAGCCTTTATGGCACGGTCATTTGGCTTAGTGCTGGTTAAAAGGTCCATTCTGGGGCCAATTTAATAAACCGTTTATAAATGCAATTTACTAGTGTAGCCATTATTTTAGAGTCAATGGCTACAATTGTAAATTACACTTGCAAAAGAAAAGCTTTACTAAATTGAACCCTGGTGTATCTTTGTTTAAGGTAGTTACAAACCTTTGAGGTAAAAATGTCAGAAACGGTGCAGGACCGAGCATAAGATAGCCAATACCAAATCCAGTGAACCCCAATATTAGGAAGCCTCGATACCATTTCTGGCAAGAAAACGTACAATTTAGAGGACGGACGAATGTATGCAGAAACTAGAGTTTTATTTTAGAAAGCCTATTACTATATAAGCCCTGTAGTTTCCCTTGGGTCTCTTCGCCATTGGGTTTTAATATTTCTTTATTATGAAACATTAATAATAATAATAACAATAATAATAATAATAATAATAATAATAATTTATTCACTAATATTGCCGGCAAATATTCATACTAATGATCAAATGAGCATTACAGGTAAAAATGTATTTACAATATGAATGCAAATCAACGAAATACAATAAGAATATATCTTGTAATGACATATATAACATTAGTATTTACACACTCAGTCATCTTGGTGATTTAAGCAATCTGATTGGTTCGCTATCTCGGACTATTCAACAATATTCACCTCCTAGCGAGTGGATAATGTGTGAGCTCGGTGTTTTTCCCATTTTTTTAGAGAACGATCTTTTAAAAGTCGACAAAATCCTAGCGCTGACTTTTTTTAAGGCAAGAAAAGCCTTGGAAGGATTCAATACGGCGTTTTTCAATTTACTGTAGCTGAGTTTTGTGCTCGATGGATTGTTTACAACTCCCGTGTATTCGCGTAGAAGAAGCCGTTTCGTGAACTCAGCGTTTTCTAACAAGAAAATTTTGGCTCAAAAATCGAAGTTTATTTATGACAAACAAATTTAAAAGGAAATGTTTGCAGAAATTCTACGTTTCAAGTAAACAGGAAAAAGAATGATACAGGAAGACGACGTCTTACCTCGAGCAACCGAGCCGGCCATTTTTGTCAGCACTTCATGCGAAGAACGACACAACAAGCCCTTTTGGCTATAAACTTGGCGAGTCAACAGAAAACAACAAAGCTCCACTTTTCTTCTCAGGTAAGGAAACAGTTCAAACTTTTAGCGGTTCCATTTAAGCCATTACGTTGTTGTTTGCGAAATGATAAACTTGTGAATTGCCATGTTTGAAAATTCTGCCAAGATCTATTTTTAAACTTACGCGTGATTTGATCTGTCAATCAAATAGTACTTTTTAATGGTTTCCTCTCTAATTTTGTTGAGATCACTTCGGGTGCGTTCGATTGGGAAATCTGGATTTAGATTTTAAAATCCGGATTTCGGATTTCCAATCGAACGCGAAATCCGAAAACGGATTTCAACGCCGAAATATTTGTTTTTGGATTTTCCTTTTTACCGTTCGATTGGGAAATCCGAAAAAGGATTTGAAAAACTGTCCTTAGGAACAGCGGTCTCGCATGCGCACGCATAATTAGTAAAAAGAAGACCGCTGTTCACGAGAATAGTTTTGCAAATCCTTTTTCGGATTTCCCAATCGAACGGTAAAAGGGGAATCCAAAAAATCCGGATTTGGATTTCTTAATTGAAATCCACCCTGAGGACGGATTTCTCGGAGGTGAAATCCGTTTTCGGATTTCGCGTTCGATTGGGAAATCCGGATTTAGATTTTGAAAATCTAAATCCGGATTTCCCAATCGAACGCACCCTTCGTGTGTATATACTAAAACAGTTATTCTTTTCAATCTCGGTGAATAGTCAGTGGCTTTGGGAATATTTACCTCGCCGCTTTCGCGGCTCGGCAAATATTTAGCCACTATTCATCTCGATTTCAAAGAATAATTGTTAAATATTACTATGTAACTTGTAAAAATACAGATCACTATAAGCAGACGTCTTAAGAATATGCGTCTTAAGATGGTGCTTAAAAATTGTTTGTATATAGCCGTCAATAAACTTGAAAATTGAAACTTGAGATCTACTAGTTTTAAAACCAGAATATATCCCCGTTTTGGAAAGATGCTTTATAGCATCCCTTGTAGCGATTGCAATCCTGACTATTTTAAAGTGGTGAGACTACGAGATCTTTCATGGGTCTCTTTTGACTGGAACGCACACGTCGATGTCATTTAAATGGCTAGAGCTCTTCCATGGAGTAGAAAAAGACCACCCGGAACATTCAACAAGTCTGAAGAAAAAAAAAACCCTAAATCGAGATAAACTCCAGTTTCATTTTCAAAGTGCGCAAAGTCTACGCGGTTACAGGGTGATTAGGGATGCAATTAATTCTTCCCGGAAGCTTTACCTTTGCTCTAGATAAGTCGAGAGACTAAACAAAAATGTTTCTAGAACAGCAGGAATACCATAGGGTGGATAACGAAGAGGCCCCTTGAGCTTGCCTTTTCCTTATTATACTCGAGCAATATTACCCCTTCTAAAAGCATTTTATCCTTGATATTAGGCATGAGTTGACTCTGAAAAGCCCCGTGGGGACGAGCCAATAAAGTATGTATGTATGTATGTATGTATGAGTCTACCCTTTGTACCCCGGCATACTCCACACAACACATGTGAGAGCTGTTGGCTGGGAACCGCACGGCAGTTCTCCCACGACGTGGGCGGAGAAGGCGGATCATAGGTTTGGTGTATGTGTGGCCCTTGCTTTAATTTATGGTGCGCCAATGAAGCCTTCCGTATTATTTTGCTTCAAAGACACAAAAAATTTCGCTGCGTTGTAATTTTTCTTAGCCGCATGCAATGAAAAATTCTAGCGGGCAAATGCGACAGATATCGCGTAGGATGGAAACGATCCACCCGACTATTGGTTGAAGACGGGATGAGCACCGGACTCACAAACACGCACACGGTTCGTGGATTCTCTGACCTGTATCACGTGTTCGCTCGAAAACAATGCATTCTCTGTCCTGCATTACGTCATGGTTGCCTTACACTACTCTATGTTACATCGCTTCGAGATTTTTTCTGCCCCTGGAACAATCGCGCACAGCTTTATAAGACTGCCGCCTCGCAGCTCGTTGGCAATAACTAGATGTGTGAAAGGAGTGCCATTTTTAAGTTGAAGGTTCAGGTAAAGGATACCTTTTCTGAGAAAAAAATGGTTTATCAAAGGGCTAGGGGGTTTGTCAATTCATTTTTAAAAAGAGTTACTCTGCTTACGTTTTATCGGTAATTAAAACACACTCACCGTTTTATCCCCTAACCAGCCAATTGCTGGCGCCAAAGCGGCATACACCGCAGAATATAATAAAAACATCAGGCCAATCTGGGCTGAATTTTCACCTAGCTGTAAATGAAAGGATCAATTATTGACACGCTGAGACACCTTTCAACAATATATGTATCTGCATTTCTTGAGGCTCTTGATCTTATGGTATTAGCTAATGCAAACCAGAAGTAACATCCCCTTTTACACCTTGAGGTGCATGTTAGCCTAGTTGGGAGATTGGGAGGTCGGGAGCGGGTTTCTATGGAAACACCATTCCCTGTTACTGTTAGCCCAATGGACTTACTATCGACGCAAATGAAAACGGCGATTACTCTTGTCAACTCGTCCACTGAGATACCTATTAGTTGAGAAATTAGGTTGGAGCTGACGAGAGGGGATCACATCTGAGTTAAGATAGATAAAGCACCAGTTACCACCTTGCTGTTCTCAAAGGTTACAGTGTTGGCCCTGACCGTATTCACTAAAAAGCCCCTTAAGAGGAGCTTGCGCGAAGGGGTCTAGTGGGACTCATTACTGAAATAAAATAATAGGGTTGGTGTTGTAGCGCAGTTCTATTGGACTCTCTCGAGTGGCTTATTGCACTGATGCCAAACACGAGGATTCTGTGAACACCAGTTGAAACAAAAATACATAAAAAATGTCAAAAGAAAAATATCTCGTTGTGTTAGGTTAGACTACTGATTCGATTGAATAGACACTAGAAAAAAAAAAACCATTATCACGTATCAAGGAAAAAGAGAGAGAGACAAAATCAACCAGCTTACCTGTTTCATATGAGGTTCAAAAATGGGCTCTAAATAACCAAAGGAGCAACCGATGATGACAAAAGAGAGTGCTTAAAAAAAGAAAAAAAAGGACTTCCAAATAAATAATATAGTTGAATAAATTTCGCGGTTGCTATGTAACGCTTTGTGGTCGGCTAAAAAAAGAATGCGTCACTTCAGCCAATCAGAAGTAAAAACTGTTTTAAGAATTCTTGCCAGAAGAAGCTAACCTCTTTCGCTTCTTTTGTGCTTACGACACTTCTTATGTGCATTTATAGATCAGTAGCACACGCTGACGCGTTTTTTATTTGTTTGATATTGATCGTAATTATGATTGACAGCCGCGAAAAATGCAATTGTGAAGGAGGCTTTTGAACTTTAGAGTTCGCGTGCTTGTGAAAAGCGCAGTAAACGGCTTAGTGTGTAGTGAAGAAAAAAAAAATTGCTTACAGCTAGAACGATAGCCTTTTGTTCTCGTATGCGCGCTCTCTGGGGTATATGTTGTGGCTCAATTTTATCCTTGGTTTAAATTTTATACTCTTTGGCTTTTGGGCATGTTCAGTAATGGTGGCAATGAGTTTAAAACTGAAGAAAATAAAATTTAAAGTACTGTTTAAAAAACGAGCAGGAGTGTATTATCAGGTTTAAAAACTGGAGGTGAAGCCGAGAGTTTTTACACCTGATAAGACACGACTGCGAGCTTTTGAACCAAGGATACACTTGATCAACTTTCTTCGTTCGAAAAATGAAGTTCCTTAGTCGAATGAACAGTTTTCCTTGCTTTAAACACGTTGCGATTGGCTACAAAAACTGCGTCATTTTAGCCAATCAGAAGTGAAAGTTGTACAAGATTTTTCGTTGAAGAAGCTAGAGTTGGTAGAAACAGTACGGGAATGACGGAAGTGTCCGAAGTGGGTTATGGTGCGTACAAACCCGCGGCAAGCGAGACAAAAGGGGCAAATTCCCTTGAGGTTCTTATAGGGAAAACAAAACATACAAGCTCCAGAGGTCTAATGATGCGTAGTCCTCCGTGCTAGCTTTCGTAGGGATTCACCCTTGGGAAAATAGTAAATGGGTTATTGTCCATTTAAAGAGCACGCTTTACTTTAACAATTCGGCCCTGTCCACACTAAAAACTAAATCCGTTTTCAAAAGTCTGCCTTTCCGTTGTTATCGAAAACGCATCGTCGATTCGCGTCCACACTACCGTTTTGAAACGTTTTCGACTGTTCACACTAAAACTTTCCAAAACGATGGAATTGCACGTGGTAACGTAAGTTGAACTCTATGGGCATCCTTCAAACACACGCGCCTGCGATATTTTTGGTCATCGTTTTCATTTTGCGGCGTTTTCGACAGTCCACCCTAATACGATATGTATGCGTTTTCGTTTTGATCCACTTTCAAGAGCCCTTCAAATCGAAAACGCTCAGCGTATGAGTGTGGAAGGAAGGCCTAAACACATCGAAATGTGTGCGTTTTCAAGCGAAAACGCATTAGTCTGGATGAGACCTTAAGGCGTTGACCACGCGCCAATAATACTACATTAATTCTGAGTACATACCGGACATGAATACACCAGGAATTCGTAATGCTTTGAAGAAGGAAGTTGATTCTTCGCGTGTTTCCTCAACAGCTTGTTTTTCTAAGGAAAATGGTAACACAAGATATCTAAATTATAATGCAAGCACGATTGGCCAGGATTCGATGGTACATTGCTCGCATCTTCCAAACTTGGTCAACGCCAGCTGAATGGTTATGAAGATTTAGCCGGGGGGATTTGGGCCAATAAAAACGGCGAAATATTGTGAATGAATAATAACTATTAACAAAGGCGAATAAAAGTAAGCGAAGGGCATCTATCAGAGGGTAAGAGATCGGTGCAGAGTGATCAGTAAAATCGTGTAATCATGTAGAGTGTACAGTTACAACTCAGTTCAAAACGAGGCTGGAGTTGACCTTGTTTTGATACAACCCTTCCTGCTTTAAAGCGGAGCGTACGCGCGCGCGGAGCGCGCCCAGCGGAGCCCTATGGCTAAAGGAAAACGTTGCTCGCGATGGTTTCCCTCCCTTCAAAGCGTAAATTCTGGCTGGAAAACCACTGCTCGCAGGCCGGGTACTTTATCCTGTGGCATTTCTTAAAAAGAACACGAGATGATCCGAGATGTCTACGAACCTGTTCCACGTAAAAGAGCTGCAATGGCTGGAATGGTGGAAATCATAGCACAGCCCATCACAATAAAGGGAAGTTTAAAGCCACCAGCCTGTGTGTAAGAATAAGAGTAAAGAAGATAATTAGAGACTTAGTTTCACATTACGACTACGGCTAATGGCAAACGACAATATAGACCAAGTCATCTCTATACTTATCGTTTACTGTTTATCATATCAACACGATAATACAATTTTCGAGCCGTCAAGTCTTTCTAATCAATATTTTATTCCATTGTCAGGCATAATATATTCTGTATAACAGTTTAAACTCAGATTTTGAAACAAAATGTGTCTCAGAAAAAGGCAGATAAGAAGGAAGAGATAAGGATAAGAGATAAGAGTGGATTTCATGTTGAGTTTGAAACTTTTCTAAACAGCGGTCCAAGGAACATTGCGCAGGTGTAAGATCCGAATCGGACGCAGTGTAGACGGACAATGCGTAATTAATATAAGGTAGAACTATTGTATTAAAGAGAAAGTCTATTTTCTATTTTGAGTTGCAGCAGTCAGACACACAGGTTTCAAAACTTCGTAAATCATTGTGATCTATTGACGTGCACTAACAGTAAGGCCTGGCCCAAACGTTGAACTTTTCATAAGACAAACCGAACATAGTGAGTTATGTTCATGAAAAGTTTGACGTTTGGCTCAGTTAAGTTCGTTTGAATGAGTTTGGATCGTCCAAGGAAGTCTGAAGATCGTCTCCATAACAAACGTCGATGTTCAAATGCGACGAACTAAACTAATAAATTAAAAATTTGTATGATACTGTATATTTTGCCGCGTTTGAGAGAAAATTTGTTAGTGGCATGATTCAGTTGATTGGTGAGATTGACTAATTGGCGTGGGTGGGTGTGTAGTGGGTCGTGCGTCTTAGTGCCTAATTTGGTCTAAAAAACATACTGGAAGGTTTTTTTACAACGACATTTAGCGATTATCTTACAGTTTTCTAAACCGGAAGTGGTTTTCTTGGACGCATGTGCATTTCATTCGGAACGTAGAGCGGGAAAATGGGAGAGGACCGGGGAAGACATATTTCGCTGATAAATTTGCTTTACTGAATTTTATCGGAGAAACTTTTTCATGAACGCGAAGGGTCGTGTAAAGGAAGACGATACCTCCAAATTCTACGAGCAAGAGTCTTCTCGAAGAGGCATGAGCTATCACGCACGACGCACGACGCACGACGCACTGACGACCCACGACGCACGGCGCACGGCCCACGACGCACGACCCACTACCCACCCAACCACGCCAATAAGTCAATCCGTCTGACCCAAAAGACAATCTTAACTTAATTTAGGTCGACCCACGTTAGAGTTTGGTTCGTCTTACGAACAGTTCGAGATTTGGCCTAGGCCTTACATCCGCAAACATTCAGAAACAACATTTTCCTCTGTTTACATACTGAGTAAAGGAATCCTCCTAAAGCTGGACCAAGGCTAAAGCCAATTCCAGTAAATGTTTCCGCTGCTCCCTAAGAAACCAGAACCACACAAAAGTTATAGAGTTTGGTCAGGGTTAGGATCAGACTATACGGCACTCTACGAAAAAGGTCTAAAGAGACACAGAAAGAGAGGGGAAGAATTAAGATTTAAGAACGAAAGGATATTTAAACCATAACAAAACTGGATGAACTATAAGCCGCGTAGCACTCAAGTAAATATAACCTACGAGATATTATGAGTGATATAAAGAGGAAACCTCTGCAAATGATCCCCACACAGCCAAATGATCCCCTAAATGGACCGCAAATGATCCCCAGCTTGGACCGCAAATGATCCCAAACGAAAAATACAATGGCTTGGACTCCGTTAACGGATCATCGTGTCAATTTTATTGTTATTGCAAAAAGTAGTAAAAGTAAAAGTTTGCTTCTCAAATAAATACATGAATAAAAATTAAATGAAAAATACATTCAAGACTTTGTTCAATTAAATAAAAGCAAGCAAGAAATAAACTTTACCACACTAATCTTAAAACATCGTTAAATCAAAGAAACAAGAAAATAGCCACGCATTGCAGCATTGAGCCGTAAGCAAGTTGCTATTTCGAATAAAACGGAAACCTACATAGGAAACTTAAGAACCACGACGAAGTTCACGACGACGGCATTTGTTGACTGGGAAAAGACTGGAACGAGAACGTCAGTTTCGGCGGGAAAAAGGAAACTTAAGATGCAGACGGTCGGAAGGTCGACAACAACGACACTGAATGTAAACATAAATGTTAAACTGTGATAGTGTTAGTTCGCATCAACATCTTATTTTCAAGCCGTACGTCTAATTTCATTGACGATGAAGAATTATCTGACCTTTTCGAATGAAAAAATCCCTGCTTTCCGTATGAAGATTATTCAACTTTTAACCTGAATCAGATAAGCGAGTCCGATTGTTTGTCAGAGTTTAGATTTGGGAAAAGAGACATTCCGAAGCGCTGGTGGTTTTCCATATAAAGTTTATTTCCTCTGTATTAAAGATTTTTCAGTGTAAATGGTAGGCACCACAGGATTCAGCCGAAGATTGCTCTGAAGATCTCAGTCTAGAAAAGATATCACTTAAAATTGAAGGCAAGGCTGATCGAACAGCTAAGGTTTACAAATTTATAAAAGATAAAAGTCTGGAAAAGATCATAGCCAATCACAAGAGGCACAGGCAGTGAAATGAATCAATTAGATATAGATCTACATATATGTTGTCGGCGCAAAGCGCAGGAAAACAAGACGTGCGAGCACATCACAATTGGCCCTGCTTTTACGTCTGATTGGTTGAAAAAGTGGCGTGAGACGTTTTAGCCAATCACAGGCGTAGAAACGTAAGACCAAAATGCAACACAAAAGTACTCTCTCTCTACTCCTAAAAAACCGCTCCACAGCGTTTGTTTGTTTGTTTATCGTATTTACTTAGCCAGGGTTAGGTTGGAAAGAAAATAGCGTGTGGTTATCCACAAATCTAGACGTTTGTGGGCCAAAGGCAATAGAGTTGGCAATAGAGTTGGCGTGATGTCCCAAACGATTTTGCCGACATAACGATATTTAGATTAGATTTAGTTATTTTAAGACCCAGGTGAGCGCTCTACTAATTGAACTAACTCGGCCTCTATCAAAAGTAACGTACTGTGACAGCTCCAACATTGTTGGGAAACTTCTCTATCAGTATGGACATGCATGAGGTCTCGGCTGCTGCTCCTCCTATCGCAGAAGTCGTTCTCAGCAAAAAACAGAAAACTGTGAAAATAGTTGTATCGGAAAGGCTGTCACAAAATCTAAGACAATAAGATGAAAGTAGTTAGTTACTTTGAGACATGTCTTATAATAGACTTCATTTTTGTGTATTTCATCTATTTGTACAGTAACGCTTTTAAGGAAACCTCAACTATTAATACAAGTTAAATTATATTTGTTTGAAAGATCAATCAAAACTGCATTGGTTTTGTGTGGAAAGCAAAATGATTTTATTGGAAAGAAATTTAGTACGTAGTTTATTAAAAGACCAACCCTTTATCTAAACGGAAATCGTCCAACGCGCGTACCATTCGAAACAAAAAGGGAATCAAATTAGCCTGAAGATCAGTCTATGTAAGAAAAAATCGTCTATTTTTGCTTCTGAATATTAAATTTCTAGCGCGCCGCCGTTTGAAATCATATATGCCATTGTTGCATACAAAAGAACGTTACCTCTCATCAATAGTGGCAAAGGTTACCCAAATCCGTAGCCATTTTCCTGATACATTTCCTTTTTCTTTTCACTAGTTGAAAAGGACTGGAATTTGTTATAACGTTAAGGGTTTCATTTCATATTACCTATCTATCCTTTCTAGAAAAAGTAAAGGTTTAAAGGTTTGTTTATAGTGGAAAGTGCACTTAGCTTATCCAGCTCGTTTACAGGCACTCCAATCAAATACTTAGAAACAAATAATTCAAACACAACATAACAGGGTTAAAAACCCCAACTGGCAGAAGGCAACCAGTTAGCTATTTACAAGCGCGGCCGAGGATTTGAACTCGGGACGACCGAGAACAAGTCCAGCAAGTTGCCAGAGCGGGACTCGAACCCGGGACCGCCGGATTGCAAGTCCGACGTGCTGACCACTTGGCCACGCTGCCTCCTCTTTCTGCAATTTTTGTCGTAACAGCGGTCAAAACAAGACATCTGCTGAACCCAATCAAGTGACTGTATCGCGGGCTCAGCCGCACTATCCATTAGGTTCTCGTCGCTCTCGTGTATTTACTAAGCATTTGATCGCGAGCGCACAGTGTAAGTATTTGTGTCAGAGATACATTTAGTCGATTGCAAAGGCATAAAGTTTCTTTTCTCAAGTGCATGGATAGTTTGTCACAGGAATTCCGGTTTTTGCTAAGCGAAATCTAATCTCTGTAAGATTTTTCGTTTAGACGCGATTAAATATTATTTAACGCCACAACTGACCCAAATAAAATAAGTGATCCTCCGCCGATAAAAATTCCTGATAAAAGCACAAAGCGAGCACCATACTTTGGTATCTGAAAAAGTAAGATACAAAAACTATTTAGCAAACAATTAGCTAAGCGACAGTTTTCGTAAATCTCTATTGCATTTCTCACCCAGTAAGATCTATCAGTGTTTCGGAATCCGCGTGGCGCATTAGCGCGGTGGTATCTCGAGTCGTCTCTTATGCGTCGGGAGTCAATCAATCAATCAATCAATCTTTATTTAAACACGGTAAGATCCATCAGGAATTTAAAAATTAAAAGTTTCCTAAATCCTAAACAAAATTCAAAACCTGGCTACAACTAATGGATCCTGTTTTTCATGAATGCCGTGTATAACATTAAAAATCTTAACGAGTCGTCTCACATGACAGGGTGGCTGTTCCAGGGAGCGTGGGGGATCGGTTAGTTGTCGTCTCTTATGCGTCGGGAGTGGGGTCTGCAGTTGCCTAGTAACAAGAGAGGATAAAGTTCCTCTCTTGCTAGTAAAAAAAGCGCGACAAACAGTTCGGTCAACCTCTAATTTTAAACAACCTTTTGAGCAATTTTGAATCTTGTCAGCCAGATACTGAGTTCTGTCATACGTTCGATCATGGGTTTGAGTCCCAGCTGTATATATACAGCTGTAAGTGAAGGCTCTTTTCTTTGAAATTTTTTTCTTGACTTTTTCCTCCTCTTTATTTTCTGCAGATGGCCCTTTGCCCTGACCTTCACGAAATCATCAAGACTCGTATTTATCCTTTATAGAATGAGTCATTGTTTTCAGTACTGTAACACAGGTTATTTTAGAAATGGCTGCAGACACGCGCAAATGGCCCTTATGGGATGATTACGTCCGGAAAGCAAGCCTCACCTCCAAGCCTCGTTTGTAAGCATTTATTCTGCACTCTTTGTCAGTGGATATTCCTTTCAACCCCACTGCCTTGGAAATTCATTTATGCAAAACTTTGCACCTTTTCATTTTCAAAACGAGGCTTGATGGTGAAATTTGCTCTTCTGCGGTAAAACATGCATAAGTTCAAAAAGGTCTTGTGAGAATAACGGAAGCGATGTGGAAATGATGAAGTAATGGTGATGAGAACTACAACGAAAAAAAATTGGTTCAATGAGCAGGCATACAAACTCCGCACGGATGGTATGTGCCTTCATATTGATTGTTTTTTTTCCCCTTTTTTCTGGGAAGCTGCATACCGTAAAATTCTGAGAATATGCCCCTCCATGTATAAGCCCCTTCAAATATAAGCCCCCCAAACCGGTAACGCAAAAAACCCTCCGTTAAATCGCCTTTTCAAATATAAGCCCTCCCCCCCTTGGAAAATTGCCCTCAAATATAAAGTACAACATAGCGAAAATATGGTAAAATATAAGCCCCGGGGCTTATTTTTGGAATTTTACGGTATCTCTGCCAAAGCAAGTGATGTTTCCACCAAACCCAACTCCTCAGAAAAACCCGTTAAGGGATCTGTCAGGGTCAGTTGAACAAAGAGGATTTATTACATAGCCAAAACCGAATCCCGTGTGGAAAAAGTACAATAGACCAATCATAACTGAGGATTTGCCTCATCTTGGCCGCTAGCGGTATCAGCCATATGATAAGACTTTAAAAGCCAGCAAGAAAACAAATGGTGCTGTTTTCAAGTAAAAAAGGAACTTACGAGAAATCCAAACACAGCAGAAAAGATAAACACTACAAATGGATAAGTTCCAAAGATTAATCCTACAACAGTGCTGGATACTCCCTTGCTTTCTGCCTATAGAGATTTCAAGGAAAGAAAACAGAAGTGGATTTTAAAAATTGCACTAATCATAAATAAATAAATAAATATGACATCTGAAAACGGAAAAGATTGGGAACATAACTGCCGATTATTCTTGAGAAAATTTCTTTGCAGTATTTAAATACTGGTGTAAACCTTTCATCCCTGACGTGGCATCACGTGACGATAACGCGAATCTCCTTCGCCGTGTCCGAAATCAATACATTTTTTGATTAAGAGTGATTTTGAGTGGAATTTACTGGCTATTTAGAGGGCTTATTTTTCCAAAGAATTGGTTTGGTCCATTGGTGGCAAAATAGTAAAACACAAAATTCAACTATGGTTAGCACTCCATCTGAGAGGATTGGGCTTGAAACTTTTACCTATATATTTATTTATAAAAAGGTCTAAAGAAATGCTCTCGTGGGCAGTTTTAAGAAATATCTTTCTGAAGTAAAGTTTTCTGTGCAGCAATCAGTTGAATACCATAACTGGTCAGGGCGAACTTTAAAAAAACATGTCGCCTCAATCAGTTGTACATTCGAGCCCGTGATTCAGTCACATGATACTGAAACGTACATATTGTGAATGTTATATGTTTCTGGGCAATAACCTAATCAACCTCAAGTTTGTTAGCTTATTTCTCTCCTTTGTAAACATTGCTATTGCTATTTACATATAGCTTTATTTAGTTTTTTTTTCCATCACCTAACGGACTTATCTTTAGTAAAACAGAAAAAAAAACTTAATTTTCTTAATTAATCCAAAAACAGAACATTCTTTTTTCTGTGAAAACAAAAGAAGTAATAAATCCATCTCAAAGTTCGTAGTCACCCCACATGGTAAAATGTCCCTTTTACTACCTCCGATGCTATCAATTTTAGCAGTTTGAAGAAAACTTTGATAGGTAACTGACTTGTGACTGGGGAAGAGAGCTCATACATGCTTGAACCTACATAGCTGTATTTTGTCATCAGGAATAAAAGCCATAATTATGGTGATCACCCGCATATACAACATGAGTAGTATAGCTTTTCAAGCAAAATACTACATTTCTTTTTCTGATAGTCTTGAAGAACTGAGGGCTACAATCATGAAGCAAGGGAAAACAAAACTGGCTGCTCTGTGTGAGGATCGACACAACACCAACAAAGCATGCCATCTACAGTTTCTATGCATATCTTATTTTGAATAGCATGATTACATGCCTAGTAATTTGCAGACCCACCCCTATTTTGTCGGGCCAACTGATTCACATTTTGATGAAATACAAGGTGACAAGAAACAAAAGACTTCATGGCAAAAATAACAACAAAATAATATCAGTCTGGAAAATTCAAATGAAACATTTTACTTCAGGGCAAAACTCAAAAAAACAGTCCCACAGATAAAGAATAGCAAAACAGTATAATTTGCAGGTGCACAGGTACAATTGATTATAAATCATGTACCGGTAACTGCAACCCTAACCCTTCACGATGCTGTGTCATGAGGATATTACCATTTTAGGTCAATTCTGTTTTAAAGTCAGCCAGTTTTGTTTCCCATACACAAAATGCTACTCATGTAGAGTTATGAAAGAGACGATATCAAACAAATTTCATCTGAGAGAGCACTATTGACCGCAATAATTTTTCTGAGCATACTACAAAAAAATTGAAAAAGGTTGCCCAACTTTTCAAGTTTCAATTCCACGTCCATCATTGCATCAAGTTGCAACAGCTGACAGGACACAGTTTCAATGCCTAAATACAGTGCCATTATTTTTGAGATTTACTTGATGCAAAGACAAGTTTTAGCTTTTAAAAAAGGTAGAAATAAAAGTGATATAGCCCCTTATAACCTAAAAACCTCAGTCACCGGCTCCTACTTCTGTACCTGCAAATTCCCCAGCAGACATGGTATAGGCTAGCCTGTTCCAGGCGCTGGTGTTCAGATAGTGGGAGTGGTGTGAAGTAAAAAGGAACGTGAAAAAATGAAAATGAGGGGGGAGAGAGGGAATGGCATTCCCGCACCGCCCACCCCAGTACCCCCTTTAGTTTTCCTCGCTTTCTTTACTTACCACTACTTACCACTACCTGAACGCCTGGAACAGGCTAGGTATTGGCTTCCACGGAACAAGAAAAAACCAAAACCCCCAAGGTTTGTTCCAAGTGGGTGAGACATGTAGAATAAAGCAACCATTTTTTTCAACTTAACTATTACATTAAATGGACCTGTTAGATAGAGCTGGAGTTACTTAAGAGTGCCTTGACATGTCATGTTGAAAAGAAAAAAAATATAAGACTCTGCAAAGTTTCAGATTTTATAGACATTATTCTGGAGGGAAAACGGAAATTTGTATCCCCACCTGGCCAAACAAATGTCTGTGGTGACTTTACTGTCTTCATTACCTTCACTTTTTCCCCCTAAAATATTACCCTCAAACTTGTGAAGTTTACTAAATTTAACGTGCTCTCTTCTGATTGTGTTGATGGATTCCTGTAGTGGTTCAATTATTTTTCTTTGATGTACACTGCATTTTTTCTGATCAGTAAGTCATTATCATACCTTGCTAAACTCAAAAATAAAGAAAAATAGAATTTGCATCAAGGAGGAAGCTTAAGCACAACATTGATGTTATAGAATTAAATTAAATTATATTCAAGCTTAAATGTTTTCAACCTAGGTTGACTCTCATTTACCTTTGTCTCCTAGCCCTATTTCATGAATATTAGGGCTATTAAGAGAAAGAACATTGAGAATCAATTTTGTTTAAAAATTCTAATCCGGATTTAATTTTGACCTGTAACACTTAAACTGACTAAAAATGCTTTACAGAAGTTAAAAAAGAAAACCGTTGTAAGAACTGTTGAAACTCTCACTACAAAGAAAGGCAAGACAATATTTTTGCATAGTCCGAAACAAGTTAATCATGCATGCATATCTGTTCTGTTCACAAGCCGAGCAGAAAAAAAATGCACCGGCTGTTTTGAAATCTTTTTTTACTAAGTCAGCCTAAGTCAGCACATACGACTTTTAATAGGGAAATGCAATGAGCGTATGATAAACCACTACAGGTCAATAACAGACTCAGTACAAGAAAATGCAGAATTAATATATCTTACCTCGCTTGGAAAAAATGGCACATACACGGCATATGCTGCGAACACCACAAAATAGACGAGATAAAGGGCGGCTAAAATAATTATCATCCGAGCGTTAGCCCAGGGACGTTCTGGCATGGTTTCCATGATTAGCAATAAATGACACTGGTTCTTAGGTCTGATATATTTCGACCTTTTTAGTCACGCGATATTTCAACATCACATTGACAAATTTCACCAGGCGGTCCTACTCACTACCGAAGGGATCCTGGGACTAAATGTAGAGTGTGTGACACGCGTATGAGTGGTTCGTGACGCGAGTATGTAGAGTTTGTAACATAAACTCTTCCCTGTGACTTGTCGGCGCCTTTCAAATACACGTCAAGATCCAAAACAAAAATAATAAAGTGAACGGAAATAAAACTAAATAAATAGTATGTAAGATTCTTCAAGAAATTTATTATAAACATTATGATCATGAGATGAGTACTCTTGTTCTTGCCATCTTTGCTTGACAACACTATTTCTTTGTTGTTTTAAAAATATATAATAATACCAGCCTGGCTGGTTAATTGCCGACTTTTAAAAGTGTTTTATGTACAAAAGCAAGATTTCAAGTAGTTTTTACAATTACTGTTCACGATTTCTACATTCCGGTTGTTGTTCAAGAGGTCATGAAATTTGACCCAGCTCCGATAATACGGCCGACTATTTTGTGGCCCGTTTGTGACCGTATTATGCGGAGTAATGTTTTCCACTTTTTATGGGCTTGTTTCAAATTTGGAATATACAATTATGAGACAAAGGGGACACCTCTTCATCTTTCACGATGATGATTTGCAACGCCATTTTGCTGTCGTTGTTGTTTACCATCTGCGCGGCGTCCCCGCAAAAATTTGTGCCGTCACAAGCAGTGGCGCAATTTGTGCTAAAATTAGCAGATTAGACTGTTACCTCATCGCTGAAAAAGGAGGCAGATACAGACTCCTACCCCGATTATTGTACTGGGCACACTCGTTACTTCCCTATACTAATTAATGCATTTTAAGTGTAATATAGTCTTAAAACAATACAAGAACAACCAACACCCCAATATTATCATATTTAATAGAGGTATCTTAGCGGAGCTTTCGCGCGCACGAAGCGCGCACAACGAAGCACCATGGGTAAGAAAATCTGGTAATCTATGCATCCAAGAAATTTTGGTTCTGAGGAATTCGTCTGTACGGAGTACGTACGTACGTCCACCCTTTCATGTAAGCCAGCATGAAATTTTGCATCTCAAGCACTCGCGCGGTTCGGCGGTAAATCGCACAGCTTCCCGAACTTGTAGAGATAAAAACATTAACTTTATCTTTCGCCTTGTCGATATCAAAATAAAAGTTTTCTATTTCGTTTAAGCTTTTGTTCAGTTTAGCCGCCTTTCCTTTGACTCCAACCATCACCTCTCGCTTTCTCGGCGATTATGCCAAGTTGCGTGTTTTTTGTCTTCAAGGGCTGGAAATAATCATACAACGCATTCACAAAAGGAGTAATGTTTGGAGAACGGAACTGGTGCTTAGCGGGCAGGTGTTCATCGCAATTGGAGATGATGTTCATAATGCAAGGAGTCATTGCTAATTATTCGACAAAAACTAAGTTTAAAATCCCCCGGGGTATGCCCTATTATTGTCTATACGGGGAGGCTTCGCCCCAAAGGGCTACCTTATTCAGCCTTCAGGTATATGCTAAGGGTAAGCATTTCACTAGTTATAGTATGTGAAATTGTACGGATATCTGTCATTGCGGTCTGTGAAAAGACCTAAAAAAGACTAACAGGCCCATTTTATGACTGGGAAAAAGATCAACAACAGAACTTCCTGTTTTAGCGATTTATTCATAAAAGAACTATGCATTTGAGTGGTTTAAACGGGTCCAGCGTTCTAAATTGCGTTTGTGAAAGGGGTGCCATTTGTCAATAAAAGGCACATGCAAGAAAGGGGTACTTTTGCTGTCAAATAGGGTATAAAAGGTCAGGGGATTGGACCTCGGGGCAAAGCCTTCCCGAATAAAATTTTGTTCAGTATCCCCTTGGGCTTATAAATTTAATCGCTTTTGGAAAGGATCCGTAAAAGGCCAGTGTTTGACTCTCCTATATTTTGGGCTTATCTTTATACAATATTGCTCTACGACTGCTGCATTCTAGGCAGACAAGTTTTAATGACACCTTAATGACTATTTTGATATCCATAAAAGTGAATACAGGACCGTAATCGTTGTTTTGGCCTGCTGGGCTTAATATTACTCATAGCCATGGGTCTGTGCAAATAACGTTTTCAGTCGAGCTTTTCTATTCATTAATCTGTCCTTAGCAAAAGTGACAGGTGTATTTATTTTCGTCAAGTTTAATTTAACAATTGCTGATCATAATATTAAGATATATGGGACCATACGTTCGTTTTGCTCGAAAAAAATGTCCCTTTTTATTAAGCTAGTGAAACAAAGACGAAGACCACAATTAAGCCAAAAGAACAAAACTTTTAAGATTCATGTTTTGAACGGATTGAAGCTTTTGAATACGAGGTTAGATCCCGATTTTGTCGTCAGTCTTTGACTGACAATTTCCCGTATTTTCCGCGATTCTTTTCAAGGCGTATTCACAGTTATCAGAGGGAATGGTTCCTGTAGTTCTCTGCCTATAGTTGGTATTTTGAACGGAATTACTTTCGAATGGTTTACAACAGCGAACCTTGGATTTAAAGAGAAGCCTAAAGTTGTTGCGATAGTTGCTGCTTTGTAGTGCGTATAAAAGCGGATTAAAAAACGAATTCGCAAATAGCAAAAACCGAGATATTCTATGCAATAAATACAGCGTTTCATATTTATCGAGGACAGCTGCGTGATTGGCGGAAATAAGATAGAGAAAAAAAGAAGCAAATGGAAGCGAGCAGACAGCAAAGATAATCGCAAGCCAGATAAGAAGGCGTGCCAACTGCTTCTTTTCATGTCTCTCTGTTTCACTGGCTGAAGTTTCCGAGCAAATTGTTTGAGTAAAGTACAAACCACGGACGATTTCAAAGTAACATATAAAAATTATTAGAAAACTTAAGAGACCAAAACAAACGCATGTGAAAATAATGAAAGACTTGTGAAGGTAGTACTCATCCAAACTCCAGGGGCGTTTGCAAGGATATTTGTTGGACTCAATGTCAAACGTGTTGGCTTGGATATCTGGTACGCAAGATAACAAACCAATGAGCCAAAGCAGAGCTATGACATATCCAACGGAGTCTTTAGTTAATCGTAAATTGCGAAAAGGCTTTACCAGAGCCAGGTATCTTTCCACTGCAATCGTGCAAACTGTCAGAACCGCTACGTTTATGGTGATTGGGACAACAGCATTTCCAGCGAATAACTTGCAGATCACATCTCCTAGGAATCCTTTCAGACGAACCTTTGTTAAAGCAAAGTCATAAAGACCAGGGCAGAGTAACAAAGTTAGTAAATCTGCCACGGCCAAGTTCATCAGCAGGTAATTGGTTGTGGTGTGCATCGATGGCGTCTTGCGCACGATAGTGATTATGATCCCGTTACCGATGACGCCTGGAAAAACGATTGTCACGTAGAAAGCGGCGAAAAGAATGTCCTGGGTTGCAAAGAAACTACCTTGTTGTCCTGAGGGTGTCGTTGTGCTACTCATCATATAACTTCCTCCGTTCCTGAGGTGACTTAGACAATCTTTTGCCCTCTTTAGTTCCCCACAGTGACAAAAACATTGAATGGACTGTCAAGGAAACGTTAAGTTAATCCCAAGTAGGCTTGGTCCTATATCTGTTACGATCCTTTTCAATAGGTCCGTCCTTGGCACTCGCTTGATGAGACAGGTGAACGGTCGGTTTTAGAGCTTGTTTACACAGTTCTGACGAAATTATCGTTTTAGCCAAAGAAACCTTTGAAAACGAAGGGATCGTTGAATATCATTTTCCAACGTTTCCCGTGATTCTGAGGTTTTAATCTCTTAAAAAGCCTCATTGTCACAGTGGTGATCGCTTGATGTCAGGAAAGACCGCATCTTTTATACTAACGAGTTAAGAATACAATTTCTCGCTAATGAATTTGTTGTCATAGTATTATTAGCATGTAGCAATCATCCTACTTAAGGCCGATTGCAGACGGCGCCAATTTGCAAATGTGATATTATTTGTTCGTCTTATGCAGGTAATTTCTATTTATTTTTTGTCGTCTAATGTATGTTCGATTGATTATAAAGCAACAAAATCTAAATTAAAAAACGGAAAAGAAAACTCAGAGCATGATTCCTAAGCTCATTGCAGAATTTTTAGAAAGCCATTGGAATACATTATATATGCGATGGGATAGCAGGTGATTATCTGCGGGTTTTTGAGAGACAAAAGACCTTAGATTTGTCATTGCGTGTACTCGTTCAAACCGACAACAAAATGTAACAAACGTTTTCCAATCTCTACTTCACTTCGAGAAAAACTAGGGGGTCCCTTAAACTGTCATGTAGCAACTTATTATTACATGTTGAAAGGCAATAAATTTTAAATGTTGCCACATGTAAGGAAGAAAGATAAAACAATGACAGTTTTTGAATCGGCTGTCGGTCAAAGCGGACCCTATTTGCCAAATCAGGCTGTTAATAAGTTTGAATAAGTAACACAAAATCTATCGAGAACGTGAATATAGCAAATTTCATTCATTATTTACATACTGAGATATACTCACCAAATAAAATTGTCGTTATATGATTGTTACAATTGAAAAAAGTGATACGTCCAATCAGACTCGCGAATGACGTTTCTCCACTGAAAAATACAGGGAGAGAGTTTCGCGCCAAATTTCCCGGCTTTTATAGGTCCTTGCATCTTGCAGCGCTCTCGCTTTGCAAACTGCTTTGTTGGTAAAGACTATAAATTTTATTTTTTCGCGTAGAAACGTTTAGACTACGAGTAGTCCCCGTTTTTCTTTCTCCCCACCGCGTCTCTCTTTTCTCGCGTGGGGTGATTTTGACGAGCGCTCGCGTTTCGCTCGCTCTACTATCCCTGATGAAAAATGGGGATTACTCGAAGTCTAAGAAACGTTAACAGCTGCTCGGAAATTGGAGGGGAATAACTTGGTATATTAAAATGTCACTGACGGAAACTGTTGTACAGAACGCCGACTTGTAAAGTTAAGGTCTACTTACACGGGTCCAGGAAATTTTCGAACGGACGAATTTTTTACCAATGCAAGTCGTTTACACGGAACCGAGCAAAAAACACGGTTACGTGGGTCCCTTGTAAATGAAAGACGGATCCGTGTAAGTTTTTGTCCGTTCAAAAATTTGACCAGACCCTTGTAAACGCGGCCTTTAACGGAGCTATTTTGTCTTCTGTTATTCAAACCGGCCATTTTGCTCAAATTAGTTAATTTTTTTGAATATACAGTTGAAAGGGGAGTGTAAACAACGACGACGACGACAAAGTCAAAAAACAATTGGTTTTATGAGCAAAACAACAGCTCCGCACGTGCATCATGCTTTTTAGTACATTTTTTTGACGTCCACTGCACGACTACGACGTGAAACCTCTCGATGCGACCTTTTATGGAGGACGTGGACATACGACGACAAATTTTCCTTTCTCTATTTTAACATAGATAAAGCCCTTAAGAATTCAACTCCAGGAAAAGTCGCTTACATTTGACGAATTGAGTGGTTCCAAATAGAGGCGATAAAGTTTGAAAGGACGCAAATTCATTTTTTTAGTGATGTTTTCACTGCTGTCGTCCTCGCTGTTGCTTAAGCTCCCTACTGACTAGCACAGTCTGTCTTCATTCTCCACATTTTCGTGATTTTTATCTCAAGGTCTTTGTGTTTCGAGGTCTTTTCAATGACCTTAGTAGAGGTGTTTGTGTGGGATGGTACTAACACATCGATAAGCTTGCAACCGCGGTTGGTATCATGGTCCTTGAACACTATATGAGGGCTTGTTTGCAGACAACTCTCTTTACGTATGTATCTGCATATCTTAAAGGATTTGAAGTTCTTCATTTACTGTGACAGTCTCAGGCTTGTGTTCATACTACCTCTCCGTTACGTAATGCTGACAAGCCCTTCAGTGGATAATATGCAGCTGCCTTATTAGCCCTCTCTGGGTAGTCAGTTTTTTTAAGCTCGGAAAACACAGATATAATATGATCTACCGTTTCTTCTTGCTTATTGCATACCCTGCATAGTGGGCTGGTGTCATTATTTACAATTCTTGCAAAAAAAGACTTGGGAGGGAGGGGTTGCAATTATTAGACCCTCTCTCTTAGCCGCCCGCTTAGCTTAATGGGATTAGCGCATGTCTGCTGAGCGGGAGGCCGTAGGCTCAAACCCCGGCCGGACCAACACTCAGGGTCTTTAAATAACTGAGGAGAAAGTGCTGCCTTTCTAATAACATCTGCAAACGGTTTGACTTTCCAGTCTTCTGGGATAAGGACGATAAACCGTAGGCCCCGTCTCACAAGCCCTTGCACAGGCAATAAATCTGTGGAACGTTAAAGAACCCACACACTCTTCGTAAAGAGTAGGGCACG